CTGGTCCACTCCCGAGTTATAAAGATTTATTTCTTTGACTCAAAATTGGACCGACGTACGCACTGCTCAAGGAAATAGGCGTTATAGCGTCCCTTTAGGACGTTGATCCATATTCCGGAGCGATAAGAAGTGTGTCCGACTCTCAGGTGTTCGCCACTGCGTGAATACCTGCGAGATAAAGTCTAAACGTCCTTCCATACCCTCTATAACTCCATCCTTGTCTCTCCCATTTAAGCGCATTTCCAAGGGCTTGGACGTAACAATATTTTTTAACTATAATATCAATAATTATACATTTTGCTCTGAAATGATTTTTTTCAACCTTTTTAATCATTTTTTATCACTGTCTAAACAATAAGCGCGCTCAGTCTGTGTGTCAGTGTGTGTGAGCTGAATACATATACCGTGCCAGTCAATAACAAACCGCACGTGTTCAGCCCGGGGCGGCGACCGCCGCGTGGCGTGAGTGCCGCGTGCCGCGAGCCACGAGTTTGCCTCTGATAATTGACTGCTTCAGTCGTTCAGTTTCGTGTAGTCTCGCGTCTCTTTCGCGTGTCTCTCGTATCTCTCTCGCGTCTTTCTCGTGTTGATCGTCGAACAATCTTTGCAGTTCGCAGTCGGAAGCCGATCGAATAGTCGAGTGATTAATAATGTAAGTAGAAACGTATAATATACTTTGTTGTTCCTATTTTTAAAAAAGGCCTTGTCTACAATAGTCGTACAGGTTGTGTCGCAAATCATATGAAATTGGGCATGTTTAGATGTGTGTGAAGTTAGCCCCCCTTTTTTTAAAAATTAAAATTTTGACAATTGTTCCAGATTGTTCTGAGTTTGTTCTACATTGTTCCAAAGCGATATGATCTTATTCCAAATCGTTCTCCAATAAAAGGAAAAAACAAATTTTTTTTGCTAGCCCCCCTTTTTTGGAATATCAAACAATTTTTTTTTGCCACAGATTGTTCTAGTTGTTCTAAACATTGTTCCAAAAGAACAATTCCATATGACGAACAGAAATGGCAGAAAAAAACATTTTCTTATCTGGCACCCCTTTTCTTAATATTCGAAAAATTCATTATCGCGATAAATTGTTCTAGTTGTTCCAAACATTGTTCCAAAAGGACAATTTCGTAAATCAAACGGAAAACGAGAAAAATAAAAAATAAACGTTCTTCAACAAATAAAGGCTCCGACAAAAAGAAAAGGTACAATCTCCTTATCCCAACGCAGAATTTTATATTTTCAGTTGTTCTAGTCCTGAGAAACATAATTCTGCATTATGAATCATCCAACGCTACTGGTTCTCCCAAAAATCGAAAAAAATCCGTATTTTTGCATCCACCATCAAGAGTAAACGTGCGCTTCCTCTCTTGTTCCAGTTGAGAACTTTTTGTTCTGAGTTGTTCTAGTCCTGAGAAACATAGTTCTGCATTATGAATCATCCAACTCTACTAGTTCTCCCAAAAATCGGAAAAAATCCATATTTTTGCATCCACCATCAAGAGTAAACGCGCGCTTCCTCACTTGTTCCAGACGAGAACTTTTTGTTCTGAGTTGTTCTAGTCCTAAGAAACATAGTTCTGCTATATGAATCATCCAACGCTACTGGTTCTCCCAAAAATCGAAAAAAATCCATATTTTTGCATCCACCATCAAGAGTAAACGCGCGCTTCCTCACTTGTTTCAGGCGAGAACTTTTTGTTCTGAGTTGTTCTAGTCCTGTGAAACATAGTTCTGCTATATGAATCATCCAACGCTACTGGTTGTCCCAAAAATCGAAAAAAATCCATATTTTTGCATCCACTATCAAGAGTAAACGCGCGCTTCCTTACTTGTTCCAGGCGAGAACTTTTTGTTCTGAGTTGTTCTAGTCCTGAGAAACATAGTTCTGCTATATGAATCATCCAACGCTACTGGTTGTCTCAAAAATCGAATTTTTTTCGATTTTTAGGAGAACCAGTAGCGTTGGATGATTCATATGGCAGAAATATGTTTCTCAGAACTAGAACAACTCAGAACAAAAAGTTCTCGACTGGAACAAGAAAGGAAGCGCGCGTTTACTCTTGATGGTGAATTCAAAAATATGGATTTTTTTCGATTTTGGGAGAACCAGTAGCGTTGAATGATTCATATTGCAGAATTATGTTTCTCAGGACTAGAACAACTCAGAACAAAAAGTTCCGCGCACGTGCATTTGGCAGTAAGCTATCCGGCAATAATTACAAAATAATAACTCGTTAACTATTTACTTATAGCGAAAATTGTAAAGTTATCTACTATTTTACAAGTTTTGCTATTATAAGTAAATAGTTTCTATAAGTAAATTAATTTTTCGACTCAGTTCACTCTCAAAAGATATTCCCGATGCAATGTCAGAAGGTATTTAATATACTTATAATAACATTGCGAGTCATTAAACATTAAAAATAAATTCTTTAACAAAAGTATTACAAGAATATACATATAAGTTCCTCAAGAAATATTAATATTTATTTAAACACATGATGTTTAGAATTTTAATTATGAAAGCTCTACGCCACACATAAAGCTCTGAAAAACCAGATTTCAGAATTATGAAAATTAGTTACGAACATTTTGTGTGGACATACTGTGCGCGCGCGCGCACGCACACACACACACACGCACGCACGCATGCACGAACGCACGTACGCACAGTATGTTTCATACCATCAGCAATATCTTTCGCGAGTAGAGTGAACTAAACTGAATACTTATATATATATATATATATATATGGGGCATTCCACACCTTCGGACGGCCTTCATCGCCGACACCTGTCGATCTTTTTACTGATTTTTTAATCTATACTTCGGATTAAAATACGTATACAGTTATTTATTTAGATTTTTATCGCTATTAGTTTCCGAAATATAAATTCATTAATATTTTCAATTTATTTATTTTGCAAATATTTAGTTGAATATTATTTCTGTTTAAATTGCTGAAAAACAACCGATAACCACATGAAATTGTTCGTCTTGACATTTTCTATTAGGAAAAAAATATGAGAAAAACTTCAGTTTTTTTTATACTCGAAAAATCTGATTAAAGTAAAAAAATTGATTTTCGTCGAGAATGACATTTTTTATTTTTATAAAAAAATTTTCCAATAATCTCAGTGCAAATACAAATATTTCAAACCGTATTTGATTATGGTCGAAATTTGTTTCATTTAAAAAAAAATTTTTCAAAATATTAAATCTATTGTTTTATGTTAGTAGATTTTTAATCTGCTGTTGATGAGTTACATAAATCATGTTATTTCATAACGACACTCGAAAATACATGTTTGATTTTACAATTATTTAGGGATTTATAGGAATATTATTGGAATAATAATGTCTTTTAGAATTTGTGAAGATATTTATTACTAAACGTTGGATTATTTATATTTTTCAGTTTTTCTTCTCACCTTTGTACATTTTATAATTTGAAGAGTTCGAAAATTTTTTTACAATAAACGTACAATTTTTTTAAAAATAATGCTATGAATTTTTTTGGTCTCAGATACGAGTTTAGCTCTTTCAAATCGAATCGCAAGATATTCCTTTGCTAGGTTATATTCTTCTGTTAAAGAGAACTGTACTACGATATTTGGCAAATTCATTCTCTTTAACAGAGAAGAACGTAACTTAGCAAAGGAATATCTTGCGATTCGATTTGAAAGAGCTAAACCCGTATCTGAGACTTAAAAAATCATAGCATTATTCCCAAAAAAATGATACGTTTATTGTAAACAAATTTTCAAACTCTTCAAATTATAAAATGTACAAAGGCGAGAAGAAACATTGGAAAATATAAATGATCCAACGTTTAGTAATAAATATCTTCACATATTCTAAAAGACATTATTATTTCAATAATATTCCTATAAATCCTCATTCCCTAAGTAAATCAAAAATGTATTCTCGAGTATCGTTATAAAATAACATGATTTATATAACTTATCAACAGCAGATTAAAAATCTACCAATATAATAGATTTAATAAAAAAATTTTTTTTTAATGAAACAAATTTTTACCATAATCAAATACGGTTTGAAATATTTGTATTTGTACTGAGATTATTGGAAAATTTTTTTATAAAATTGAAAGTGTCGATTTCGACGAAAATCGACTTTTTTTACTTCAATCAGATTTTTCAAGTATAAAAAAAAACTGGAAGTTTTTCTCGTATATTTTTCCTAATACAGAATTTCAAGACAAATAATTTAATGTGGTTATTGTTTGTTTTTCAGTAATTTAAACAGAAAGTATATTCAACTAAATATTTGCGAAATAAATAAACTGAAATTATTAATGAATTTATATTTCGAAAACTAATAGCGATAAAAATCAAAACAAATAACTGTATACGTATTTTAATCCGAGGAATACATTAAAAAATCAGTAAAAAGATCGACAGGTGTCGGCAACGAAGGCCGTCCGATTTGGCGTGGAATGCCTCATATATATATATATATATGTATATATACATATATACATATATAAGTATGTATGTATACATATATCTTAGATATTAAATAAATATATGTAATATATGTATAGGTTAGAAGAGGATAAAGAAAATAAAAAGGAAAAAAAAGGACAAGCTAAAAAAGGAGGAAAAGACAAAGGATAAGAAGGAAGAAGATAAAAATATTGAGAAGAGAGAAGATCATATGGAGATAGGAGAGACAGAAGAAGACACAGAAGAAGAGACGGAGAAGAGGAAAATAGATTAAAAGAAAGAAAAAGGAGAGGAGGACGTTTTTTGCAGGAAAGAAACGCCATGTAAGTTAAATTTTTTATGTATGTCCTTTTATTCTTTTACATAATATTTATAATTAGAGATGTACAAAACGGATTTTTTATTTCGGAAAAAGTATCAAGAAAGTTTTTTTACGGTAAAAGTAAGTATTTTTAATTAAATGACGTAAAATTAAAAAAGAAACATGAAATTCATTAAACATATAAAAAAAGGATATAAAATTCTTTAAATATTTATTGTTAAAATATTTGATGCTTTCTTGATATTATATTTTGTTTTTATAGTTTTATATCGAGGCAGAAATACAATTATTAAATTGGCGCTGTTTTTGTTGTATATTGTGATGATTGTAATTGTACCGATGTTATACAATTAAACAGCGCCAATTCTAATAAAGTAGGTATTATTTGTGTTAATAATGGTACGGAACACTTACTTTTGCATCTACACAATATTGGCTCCTGCACACTGGACGCGGAAACGTTTACCGCGCGGCAAAATGAGACGCGGTAATCAATGAATATATTAAGAGCTGTAAGCTTATTGGCTACCGCATCACATTTTACCGCGCGGCAAGCGTTTCCGCATCCAGTATGCAGGAGCCATATGTCTGTGTAAAAATACTTACAAAAATTTTAAAATGTATCTATACAGTATTCCATATTCGAATAATCGTAAATGGTAGTAAGTATATATCCATGGCCATCGGCACTTGTGGTCATTTTATTACATTCCAACTTTTGTAACTATTTTTACACAGATATGTCGCAGATGAATGCAAAAGTAAGTATTCCATATTGTTATTAACACAAATAATACTTTATTAGAACAATTGACAGTTTTTTATTGTATTTGTGATGATTGTAATTGTACATGTTTCAAATTTAAATTAGTGAAACAACATTTAAGGAAACTAAATTCTTCTAGAATAATAGTACAGCATCGAAATCATCAAATGTTTAAAAAAATATATCCGAGTAAAAAACCCTTCAAGGCCGAAGAAAAAAACCGTTTTTTTACTGAGTTTTTTATTCAAAATTTCTAATTTTTTCCGATCATGTACATCTCTAATTATACTACTCTATAATGTGCATACTATTTTTATCTCAAATGTAAATAAAATTTTTAATACGTTTTCCACATACTCTCTAAATTCTTTGAAGTGGACTCGCACTATAAAAAATGAAAATTGAGCTAGTCTTGAAAAAAAGTGGCCCAATTTTTAATCTTTGAGAAATTTAACTCTTGAAAGTAAAATTCGAATCATTCGTATAGTTTTAGAAAGTATATTACAATATGGTGTATGTATTATTTAATTTTTTTGTATGTTAATTAGATATGCACAAACTCGTGCGTGGGGAAGGACGCAGTGGCGGGAAGAAAAATGCTACGAAAATTGTGGTCACATGTGGTGCGAGAACCGCCAACAACGCAGGGATTTTGGGCAGCGTGGGAGACACAAGAATTTTAGGCAGCGTGGAAGTTTCGAGCAGCGCGGAAGCCGCGGGCAGCGCGAAAGCCGCGGGCAGCGCGGAAGCCGCGGGCAGCACGGAAGCCGTGAGCAGTGCAGGTGCTATGGCCATAGGTATCGCCAATGCTTTTCAAAATGGCATGAAGGATCGCGAGGCCCGATAAAGTAAAATCACAATTTATAAATAAAATTATTGTAACTTCATAAGACAATGAATCATTTATCTTAATTTATATTTTATTTCAGAGTCTCTTACAAAATATATGATTAAATACGCATCACAACGTCGTCGACCAATGCCAATTTTAGTTTACAATTGCGTATTTATATTAAAAATATGATTTCGTACAAGACTAGGATAATACGTAATTATTATTTCGTTAATTGTGATCGCCTTGAGCGTCGTTTTTTCTTTTTTTCCATATTGTTTTCCTCCCATGATGTTAATTCAAAATACTGTGTTTTCTCGTTTAAGCACTGGACAATGTTTTTTAAACATTAAAATAATAAATAATCACCCATATTCTGCGAAACTAATAAAAATTTCTTACTTTTATATTATAAATTATAAATAAGTACTTTTCTTCGTCAATTAACACACGTTTTCGTTGCTTCATGTTGTGCATTCAATTGTAATGAAAGATACTTTTATACGATATCTATAAGTCTTAATTTTATTATACCTTGTAATGTTTTTGAGCCATTCTTTATATATGTTATATGTTATATACTGTAATATATAAATACATAATGTAATATACTAATACATAAAATATGTTATATACTGTACCCTCCATAAATTTGGAAACACCCTACGTTTTACAGGAAAGCAAATACATGTCAGCGATCATGTTTTTGGTTTAAGTATTTCGTAAGACGTCTAAATGACGATAAACATTTATCTAAAACACCTATAAGCTTATGCCGAAAATATGTTGGACAATCACTTCACATCAAAGCGCTCAAGATTGAATTTCGCGCTTTGGTCTATTATTTATATGTATATTGTCACTTATTTTGCAACGTCATACTTGTATTCGTTATATATACATAGGCCATTTAATTGTAGTTTAACGGTTCCTATAAAAGTTATAAATTATTTGAGTCGCAAGTTGATTTCAGACTCCGTAAAAATTATAAAATGGCCCCAACGAATCAGATTTCGTATGAATCGCATTTTAATTAAAATTCCATATTTTATCATGAAGGTTTAAAGCCAATCGAGTCTAACACTGGTAATTGTTGTATATTGAAAACTTTATTCTAATAAACCATACGTTTCAATCCTTGTATTGGATCCTTATCACTGGTCAGTTATAATATAATTACATCATTATTTTTTCTGAAACAATGACTAATTGTGAGAAATACGTCATTGTTTTAGAAAAAATAATGATGTAATTATATTATAACTGACCAGTGATAAGGATCCAATACAAGGGTCGAAACGTATGGTTTATTAGAATAAAGTTTTCAATATATAACAATTACCAGTGTTAGACTCGATTGGCTTTAAATCTTCATGATTTTATTCACACGAGTTGATTACGGAAATTGGATTTTATTTCCATATTTTAATAGCATGTTATTAATAGTATATCTTTTTTAAAGCATCATAATGTAAATTTATTTATCAACAATGTCGAAAAATAGTTTTTTCTTTACATCTATAATTTGTGGTGTACCACGTCCACTTTTGACGATATGATTTTATCGGCGAGACCGGGGAGTCTCGAAAGTGGATGTGGTACGCAGTTCCCGCAGCTCAAAAATGGACGTTGGTGTCGCTAGTGTACGGGGAGTTAGAAGCGTTACAGGAAAAAGGCCGGGATGGCCGCTCTCATGTTGCTCTCTGACACACCATCGATCACACACATTCCGAGATCCGCCTAGCGCTACACTCGCGCCACACACACACTACACTCGCGCTACACTCATACTACACTCGCGCTACACTCGCGCCATGTTTGACGTGAGAACGCGCGAACTTTTTTAGATCCCACATTATTTATATGCTTCTGAACATGCTATGACGATTTAAAAGAGTTAGCGCACTGAGTTTTTATTGAGTTTTGTCCAAACATTTTTAATTAATAAATATTTTTAATTGATATAAAAAATCTTATATGTAACGTAAAAGAGATTATGCAGAGACGAACAAGAAGCTATGAGAGAGCTAAAAGGATTAGTAAGGGAGAAGCAGCAGCTCATTGATAGAAAGAAAAGACTCAAACGGATGAGAATGCAGATCCAAAAGATGATGCTGAAACTAGCAGTGGATTCGTAGCAGTGGATTCGGAAAAGCTGGGGTTCTCAAATAAAAAAAAGAACAATCGCTAATTTGTATAAAATGTTAATACACATCATGGTTAAATGTTTTTATGTCAAGTTGGACCATTATAAAATATCAAACAAGGCATAATCATAAATTAAATACGATTTTGAAAGTAACGATTATTGAAAGCAACTACGCATTTTGGCTTGTACCTTAAGAACCAGAGTATGTTCCGGGCTGAAATTTTTATGAGAGTATCTTAAAGGTATTTAAAATCAATTCCTCGCTACAGAAAAAATTTTAAAAAATACGTGTGATTGTTGTAACGTGTTACAATAATGTTATACGGCCTTAATGAGCAGTTACCGCGATTCGGCCTGTATCTCGAGAACCAGTGTATGTTCGGGGCTGAAATTTTTGTGAGAACATCTTGAAGGCATTTGAAATCTATTCCACGTTACAGAAAAATTAGAAAAAATGCGCGTGATTGTTGTAACGTGTTACAATAATGTTATACGGCCTTAATGAGCAGTTACCGCGATTCGGCCTGTATCTCGAGAACCAGAGTATGTTCGGGGCTGAAATTTTTGTGAGAACATCTTGAAGGCATTTGCGGTGAACGGAGAAATCAAGACCGTCCAGCAAAAATCATTAAAACCTGTTGTACTCAAACGATATACGAAACTATTTCTAATTTTTCGAATTCTCTGCATACTACATGTTATTCTCAACAAATTTCCTCAAAAAACATACTCTGGTTTTCGAGATATGCAAACAATGGAAGTTCTTCTTTTTTTACGAACTATATCATTGTTTAAACATTTTGTCACAAGGACGCGAATTTTTATTAATTTTGTTCTACAATGCTGAATTGATTTCCATACGACATATCAAGAACTTTTATACTCCGATACCAGTCGAAACGCGGTAGTTGCTAATTAGGCCGTATAATATTATTTTAATACGTTACAACAATCATGCATATTTTTTTTAATTTTTTCTGTAACGTGGAATAGATTTCAAATGCCTTCAAGATGTTCTTACAAAAATTTCAGCCCCGAACATACTCTGGTTCTCGAGATACAGGCCGAATCGCGGTAACTGCTCATTAAGGCCGTATAACATTATTGTAACACGTTACAACAATCACGCGCATTTTTTTTAATTTTTTCTGTAACGTGGAATAGATTTCAAATGCCTTCAAGATGTTCTCACAAAAATTTCAGCCCCGAACATACTCTGGTTCTCGAGATACAGGCCGAATCGCGGTAACTGCTCATTAAGGCCGTATAACATTATTGTAACACTTTACATCAGTCACGCGCATTTTTTTTTTTTTTTTCTGTAGCGAGGAATTGATTTTAAATACCTTTAAGATGCTCTCATAAAAATTTCAGCCCGAAACATACTCTGGTTCTTAAGGTACAAGCCAAATTGCGTAGTTGCTTTCAATAATCGTTACTTTCAAAATCGTATTTAATTTATGATTATGCCTTGTTTGATATTTTATAATGGTCCAACTTGACATAAAAACATTTAACCATGATGTGTATTAACATTTTATACAAATTAGCGATTGTTCTTTTTTTTTATTTGAGAACCCCTGCTTTTCCGAATCCACTGCTAGTTTCAGCATCATATCCAAAAGTTAATAACAATTCCAGTAACTAAAGGAAAGTATGATTTGTGTTAGAAGTTAGATGACCAGCAGGGCTATTCTGAAATTGTTTAACGCATGCATTATATGCTTTGTAAGGCATGCTTTATGATTTCATATTCTGTAAATGCGTCTTAACGCATGGCATCGTCAATTTACATTGCATTTGCGTTAAGTTTGCGTTATATTAAATTTCACTAGAAAGTTGTATTCTGCGAGTCATTTTAACGCAATTTGTAACGCATGCCCTTGCGTTATGTAAAGTAATGCTAACGCCGATTTTTGGACAGCGTTAAATGTCATAACGCAGGTTAGTTGTTATAATACGCAGTTATATCGATGCAGTTAAATAAATATTTTTTTAAATCCTGTGAAGAGTTGTTATTTGATTTTGAATAAATGGCTGATAGATTGTTCAATTTGTTAGACATTGCGGAGGAGCAAGCAGTGCGGGAAAATGCTGGACTAATAAAAGAATTGAGAAATAATATTGATCCATTCGATTTAACTGATGAACAATTTGTAAAAGTTTTCCGCTTATCAAAAAAAGCTGTAATTTATTTATGTGATTCTCTTCGAGATATTCTGCAACGTAAAGGAACAAGAGGAATAAGTGTAAAAACACAGGTAGTTATGTACTTTATAACATAACCATAAAATAAACATATATTGGTTTTGTTAAATTTAATGCAATAAAAAATTGTTCTTCTGGTTTTCCCTTGTTTGGTTTTCCGACTCAAATATAGTGTCAGTACCATGCAGAAATTACGAATCTTTCGATTCAATGTATAACCTTCTCGGAGAGCAGAGGTCTCAATTTTCCTGATATCTTGTTCTTATTTCATGGTTAAACTGGAGATCTCAGCAGTGCTTTGAACACTCAAAACAAAAAGACTCTAGGTTCCCACACTGTTAGAAATGTTCTTAAATTTCATTAACTTTTAATGTACATTGGTGAATGAAGTTTAATTTCTCTGTAACTGAAAGGACTATTAATGCACATGTTAATGAGATTCAAGTTTAAAGTAACTGAAAAATTGAGTGTAATGAAATTTAATATACTTTTCATTTACGGATATAAATGACATTTAATTAATCGTAATTGAAATAACTATTAATGTACATATTAATGAAATTCAAGCTTGTAGTACATTAAATTTCAATACGCTTAACTTAAAAGTTAAGCGTGTTGAAATTTAATGTACTTTTACATTTACGAATATTAATATTTTAATTACGCCTAATACTATTAACACTTAACATTTAATACGTTTACGTTTCTTATATGTCATTAACGTAAATTACTTTTCAGTTACAGATCTCGTACTTTTCATTAACGTGTAAATTAATTTCTATAATAATGTGTTCATTAATTTCAATACACACGTTCATCACATTTAAGACTACTATAATTTAGTTTTTATTTACATCATTCATTACATTTAATTTCGTGCATAACCACATGCTACCTTTACATATTAATTAAAATTCATTGAG